GATGGATGGATGGATGACAGCTGGGGTGGACGAGGCTAAGCATCAGGCTTTCAAATGAATGTCTGGGTCTTTGGTTGATTAACAAGATGAAAATAAAAAGGAAACCTAAAATTCTTCAGTAAACATTTAAGGAGACGACTTTAGAGTGGTTTTAGTTTAAGGAAACAGAGTTTAAGAAACATGTCAAAGTGTTGGCAGCCCATCCCAGGTGACCTTACCTGTGTAGTAATTGTGCGCAGAACATCCAAACAGCTGATCTGGTCTCCAGGAAACAGAGGCAGATTCAAGTGAGTCAGTTTTATGGTGTTTGGTTTGGGAATCCTCAAAGGATCCTGGAGACCATCACAGAAGTCTGCCAGCTCACTGAGGAACACATTAGAGAATATTAAAGTCCATTAGAGACTATTAGACTATTACAGTGGAGTCCATTATAGTGCAGAACCATTTTTGATTAGTGTTAAGGTTAGAAACCTTCACCGAGCTCAGTCTCACCTGTACTGTATGACCTGCGAGCCACTGGGGTCAAATTTCCTCCAGGTTTCATAAAACATCTGGAGGTGATCATCACTCAGCATCTCAGCGTCCTCAGGGCTCGCTGTGTTGAAGAGCTCCAGGATGACAACGACGAACAGGTGGATCACCAGCAGGCAGAAGAGGAGGATGTAGGAGCTGAAGAAAACAATCCCCACCGTCGGGTTGGCGCAGTTACCAGGCTCAGGTAATCGCAGGTCGCAGTCTGGAGGCATGTTCATGATGGGACTCAACAGGTCGTGCCACCCCGAGGACGTGGTGATCATAGTCATGCTGATGATGCTGTTTCCAAATGTCTTGAAGTTAAACATGTCATCGATCATCATCTCATTCTTCACGTAGGCAAAGTTAAACATCCCAATGATGGAGAATGTGAACACAATTAGGAACAAGAGCAGGCCGATGTTGAAAAGGGCAGGAAGTGACATCACAAAGCCCATAATCAGCATCCAGATCCTTCTGGCAAACCGAATGTGATGGAATGCTCCACATAAGGTGAACAAACGACCCAATCGCATAACAGAAAAGAGAAAGGGACTGCCGAAATATTTTTCCAAGATGTCAGCTAAGAAGAGACCTGCAACAACAACAACAACAACAACAACTATTTGTATAGCACATTTAAGACCGAAGGTACACCAAAGTGCTTCATAAAAAGGTTAAAACATAACAGATATAAGACCATAACAGAGTACAAATAAGCTAACAATTGAGAAAAGCTGGTTAAACAAAAATACAGATAAAATAAGAAATAAAACATCAGAGCGTATTTTAGAAAATAAAATCACTGCGTATTCATAAATATAAAGTAGGGTATACATACAGTGGTACATCAATAGAAGATAAAGAAGCTGGATAAAATATAGGGAATGTGCACTAACTAACCGAAAACGCTCGGTCAAACAGCTAAGTTTTTAACTGTGATTTAAATGAATGGATGGAATCAGAGGCGTGAATGGCAGCAGGAAGATTGTTCCAGAAGCTAGGGCCTGCCAGGGCAAAAGCACGGTCACCTCTGGTCTTTAGCTGGGATCTAGGCTGCACCAAGACTAATTGTCCTGATGATCTTAGGGCTCTCCTGGGGATATACGGATTAAGGACTTCAGTGAGGTAGCACGGCGCAGTATTGTTTATGATTTGAAAGGTGAGCAAGAGAATTTTGAACCCAATATGGTATTTGACAGGGAGCCAATGCAGGTCAGCGAGGACCGGGGTAATAGAGGCAAACCTTCTGGTTCCAGTCAAAAGGTGTGCCGCAGCATTCTGGACAAGCTGCAATCTATGAAGAAGGGCAGAGTGGAGACCAAAGTAAAGGGAATTACAGTAGTCTAATCTAGAGGTCAGAAATGCATGGGTA